TTTATGTTTGCCTGCAATGACGGCTCCCAAACTAACGTCTGTAAGTACGCGGAAAATTGCCCGGGAATCAATTCGCGTATTCAATTGTACGTGAAATATTAATCAAAGCGCATATCATAGATGAGGATGTGCAGACTTTCTAATGCTGTTAATTAGCAATCGCAGCGTTATAATCACTATGACTACGAGTTGATTAATCACGTGTCTGTATACATATTTCACTGAAATACTATTGGAAAAATAATCCTGAATATATATACATTATATGACATCCATTTACGACTTTCTGTATTTGCTAATTCAATAATTGTCATCAGGTGCGGAAGTTATCAGTTGGGTTTTCATTAAGCAAAATTACAATGTAATGTAGCTATATTCGTTATGTATTACAAAATCGTTGGAGCATCTCAAAACTGGCTTTATTTAGTTAAATTTAACAGCAAGCAAATACATCATCATATTATATTTTTAAACTCTTGACTCCCTTTTTGATCATAATTTTCAACATATCTATAGCCTCCAAATTAAATCTTCTTTTAAAATTACAGAATAATTATGATCACTTCAACTTGTTTGTATAATTTTTTAGTTTGACGTCAAGCTTGTCAAGCTTGTCTAGCTTTAGCTGCCGTTATGACCACCTGGAGATAGGTCTAGCACTAAACGCAGGCACAATGCAAAGCAACATCTTCCGAATCGGACTTATTTATAAAGCCTATTTTGTCTTTGGCTTGTAAAACTATTCATTTTTTGGACATTCTAAACAATCGTATTGAAAATGGAGAACTCCATTAATACTTGAAAACTCACTACTTAACCCTGAACATTTCTCTTTTCTGTGTTTAATACTCCCTTTATTAACGTAAGTCAATACTTTCAGATATTAGCTCAGATACACAGTATATGGGGTTTTATCAATAACAAAACTTGATGAGAAATTGGGATAAGGTACGGTGGAACACAGATGCCAAGGAAACGAGGCTTTGGGAAAATACAGTAGTTGTGGTGTTTATCGATTGGCTAAGATCTTTAAAAGGGATATCGTGTAGAGATTATGATTAAACCAATTGTAATTTTGATGGATGGAATATTATAATGGATAGCCGATCAATCAAGATTACAAGAAGTTTAATAATAACTCCTAAACGATATACATGGAGATGTAGTAGTTATGCGCATGCGCTTGTCCTGAAAGCACATCTTAGACTCACACGACAGGTAGACCAGTGGGGCTACCAAAATTGATTTATATCTTATTTGAGGAAAAACACTAAAAATAGACATAACAATTATTACAAATAATTGGAAAACTGTACACACATTATAAGCTACGGTATAAACCTAGGCCCAGAAAATATTAGGTAGTAAATAGGCTTTTGAAAAATAAATATAGGCCTAGGCCTATTTTTTAAAAATAAACATAATATAGGATCATAGCTGTTATTCAATTTTAGGGGTTTTTTGAAACTTACATAATATATTTAAAGCATCTTTTAATTGCCTTTTAATTATTTTTTTTAACTTATTAATTTAAACTCTGTAAAATAAGGTAAGTTCAGTACCGTAATTTGTATTGCCATACTTATTTGAGAATAAAACAGGATTATTGTATACAGTATTTGATAGTTGGTCTTACAGAAAAAATAATATGTTAGTGTATACGTGTTCGGCTTATACCTCATTAATGAGATTTGGTTTACAGAGCAATCACTTCCATTCTGTAATTGGCGAGGCGGTAGCTTTCGGATAAGAAGGATTTTTCAACTACAGCGATCAATTATTTACAATGTCACTAAAAATATTGTTACGTTTTGCACTTTGCACACCATCTCGGAACAAATTCCAAGGGAACAAGGACCGAAATATCTTTCTACCTGATAATTATGACTCGTGCAATGCATAAATAGCCAATCCTAACACACATTTTACAACCCATTTAAATATAATGTCTGTTCACAATTTTCAGTATACGTTGGATGTGTATAAAATAATTACATTGATTGGACATTTATCATGATGTCTTTTATTTTGTATGTGTAATGCATTGCTTGTGTTACTTGTTAATGGTAGTAGCTTTTATAGTGCCTTTCCTTAAGGTTGCGAAGCGCTGAACCACTCTTCTCAATATGTCACTTATTCCCGTGGGAAAGCCTTGCACCGCGACCAATGCAATGTAGGAAATAAGTATGCAGAAGC